TAACGTATTGTAAACGATATAGCGGTCTAAGCTCACCCTTCGGCCGAGGAGACAGAATGGCTGGATTTTTCTTAGACAATATCGATAACGACGATTTATCCACATACATCCCTGTCACTTTTCATTACAACGAGGGAATATGCGGGTTACGCGGAGTGTTCGGTTCGAACGATGTTATCCTTAACGGCCAAATCCTCTACAATCTGATTGTGCGCACTCTAAACGTTTCTGCTGCGATAGAGTATCCCAGGTATATAAAAAAAATTTAATAATCTCAAATAAATAGATAAGAAGTATAAGATATATTGACGACGTATAAATTTATTTATTTATTTTTTGTAGGTACTATTTCGCCTCCGACGGTATGGTGATTGAAAATAATGAAAGACATTCGATGGAGGCTGCCTTGCAGGCTCGGCTGTACTCCGTCATATCGTCATTATCTCATGACGGTACCTCGTCCGTGGGAAGCGTAAATGCAATTGTTAAAAGGAAGGATTCGCTATCGAGCCATTCGGACAGTCGTGGAAATGGAATTGCGTCACGATTTTAAGCCATATACGCCTTGTTTCGTAGAAGCGTATACATAAAATATCAACGAGAATAATCTCTTGGAGATTACATGATGCTGTGATATTAGAGGATGTCAGATACGCAGACTCACTCAACGTGTGAACGCGCAGTGTTTTTTTTTTTGTAGAAAACTGGCTGGACTGTAAATATCATAGATTTAATATTTAAAATATTTGATCTTATACTGTTTCACATGCATTAATATGTACATACAGATATTTTTACATACTGATGCAAAACTGTGGAATGAACTTTGGGTCAGTTTGCGTGTATAAGGAACAGCTCTCTTCCATACGTTGCTTCGAATTTTCTTAAAATATAAGAGAATAAATAAGAAATTTTAACTCTGCCAAGGATCGAGCAACGTGAAATCACAAGATCATAATATTATAAAAACTTAAAATATTTAATGTCAAATAAAACACATAAATTGTGTTTAAATATTTTAAATTTTTATAATTATAAAAATTTGAAATTACAAGATCATAATATTATAAAAACTTAAAATATTTAATGTTAAATAAAACACATAAATAGTGTTTAAATATTTTAAATTTTTATAATTATAAAAATTTTAAATATTTAATGTAAAATTTAAAATATTTAAACACAATTAATGTGTTTTATTTGACATTAAATGTCAAATTGTGTTTAAATATTTTAAATTTTACATTAAATATTTAAAATTTTTATAATTATAAAAATTTAAAATATTTAAACAATTTATGTGTTTTATTTGACATTAAATATTTTAAGTCTGTCTCTTATACACATCTCTGAGCGGGCTGGC